GTAGGATATACTGTAACTCTGTAAGGTGATGGCATTCTCAAACAAATCCATGTTTAGAATTTGGTTACCAGGGAAAATACTTCTTAATAGATTCTAGACTTCTAATATTCTTTGCTGTCTGACATGTAATTTTTACGTTTTTAAGAGGCATGCCAAAATACTTCTGTTTAAGAGTAAAGCACACAAAAATGGACAATATGTTGTGTTACACATTAATGTTATTTAAAAATTAAAGGGATAAATTGTTATTTCTTTGGTATGAAGTTCCATATTACCTTTCTTTGATGAATTACCCAAGGAAGACTTGAAAAAATATTAGCATTTTGGGGGCTTCCAGTGTTAAGTCCCATCAACTTCAGTGGTACATAGATACTGATTTAAAAAATAATTTAATTATAGAAGGAAAGAAGATATGCATTTGTGACATTTTAAAAAGAGGTCCATTTGAATAGCATATATATGCAAATAGACTTCTTTTCAGAATTAATTTACAGTATGTCAAGAAGCATTATTTTTAACCTGGGTGAAACTAAACTGTAGGACTACTTAGGGTTGGGAAGAAAATGTATATACAAAATGCTGTATTGATCCTAAAACAGTGGTATTTTTTAAAATATTAAGTTTTCTTAACACACACTGGATGCATTGTTATGCTATACATTATTTTCTGTATTGATTTATTATAGGCCCAGTTTACAGTTTTGATAAATCTACTTCATCCTGCATTTCTACAAATCCACTTCTTCCTGACCCTTATGAATCAGAGAGGTAGAATACTTTATAATATAACAGAAAGACAAAGCTATAATATTCTGTTGAAATGCATGCAAAGAATATTTGGTTGGATTACACACGTTAGTACACAATTCAGCAACCATTTACTTCATTGCCACCCCCAAATATTAATCCTTTATGAGAACATAGAGACTGCCACATGTGACATCAGTCTGGCCATGTGGTTCCCCAACTGGGCACTGAGCCACCCAAGGCTGCCACAGTGAACTCACAAGAGTGTTGTGGGATCATGAACTATTAGCTTGAACTAGTTTTGCCCAGGAGCACCATGATAAGAATTACCAAGACACTCAGGGTGCTGTGAACTGAGAAACTGTGGGAACCTCTGGTCTAGCCTGTTTCCGCATGAGCTGGTTGCTTCCAGTCTGTTACTGGTTTGAGTATATTCGTGGGGGGGGGGGGGGAATGTCAGGGGAGATCAAAGAAGTCAAAATGGGAGTTATGGCCACACAATCAAAGCACTGCTGCTTTTTACATATGTGCAACACATATTAAAAATGGGTGGAACTTTGATCACACTGTCATAATTGTCATCTTGACTTTTTTTGAGCAACCCTGCAGATTTCTCTGACATTATAGCATAGTTTAATACCGTTATACTCAGAAATATGTGCTGGGTATTAAATAGGACTAATTCCAAGGCAGGTTCCAAAGGATTGCAATGATGGTTAACTTAAAAAACCTTTTTTAAATAAATTGTATATTTGTATCCATTTTTAATTATCCACAGATCTCAAGAACTTAGGATAATATGGAATGTGTAATTTTAGTCTTTTTAAAACTAAAGTCTTTTAGTCTTTTTAGTCTTTAAAATTGAAGTGATTACTAGCCTTTTCCTTTAAAAGTTTTTTAGCTATTTGTTTCTTTTGACATATTCCAAAATTAACACTAAGCAATCTGAGCTTTGCTTCTAGATTCTCATGTGTGCTCTAATAAGATCTGTCCTAGAAACCTTAGTGTGCATGTATGAAGTTGTAAATAAGATACTATTTTTATTCATTGCTTTAATTTAGGGTGTATGTAGATGCATCTCTTATTTCCAATGCTGGAGAAGGTTTATTTACTAAAATAGCTGCTGAAGCTGGCACAGTTTTATCATTTTACAATGGCATACGAATTACACATCAAGAGGTAAAGTACAAAGAAACCTTTTCATTGCTGCTTCTGAAACAACTTCCACATTGCTTATTAATATTACTATACTATTTGCATGGCCACAGTGTTTCGTGATATAGAAGGATGGGGTGTACATTCATGCCCTTTATATTAATAGCTTTTGTGCTAATTACATCTGCTATTTCAGATGTATAAAGATCTCCTAGCAGCCCTACTGCATTTATTCTTGGCAATTTTAAATGCCATATCCTTCTTGGTTTTGTGATGTAATTTCATTAAATGCTAAGAATAAATCTATATTTTCTCTAGTGACAAAATGTGTCACTAGTCTGCTTTTTTTTTTTTTTTTTTAGAGCTAGTTTGGTGTAGTACTTAAGGCACC